ACAATTCTTAATAAATTTCATTTGGTCAAAACATTTACTGAATACTTTCCTTTTTGATCGACGCTGAAGAAAATAGCAGCATGAAATCGCACAGAAAATCATCCTGATATTTCAGTCACAGTTACTAGAATTAATTGATGGCATGTTGACATTTAGCTTCTATTCTCAGACGGGTCTCTCAGAATTTTAATTTCTCAACAATAAGAAAAAAGATAAAAACTATCAGGAGTCTCTAGTATAGTGATTTGTTGTTTGTTGCTCCACATCACTGCCTGCATGTTACAGTTAATGAGCCATTGCAGACATCTGCTCGAAAAATTTATCATAAACCTGAATTTACTTATTTCCTTGATAAACAGCCTCTAGAGTTATTCATCAATAGTATCAAGGTTCTGTCAATGTAAATAAAATTAGAACCAATCTAATTTTGTTTATACTCACAATGCCGTGTTAATGCAAATAAATTGAAAATTCTGTTTTCTATAAATCGCAAGTTAAATATTAAGATTTTTCAATACTGTAAGGTATATTTTAATTTCATAACAGTTATTTTAATTTCGAAGCCTTTTCTTATCAATTGTTGTTCCCTTTTACAACTTCCTACCAGAATGAGTTTTTAGAATCGCTTTGAAAGCAAATGAGATAGAAGAGGTATTTAATGAAGGTTCAACTAACTTCGATAGAGAATGCTTGGAGTCCTTAGTAGCGTATGTTTTGCCTTCTGGGCTAAGTCACTCTTGAAGCTGTTACGCTCGGCCGTATATTACGTGCCTTTTGATATTCGCCGGCTAGTTTAATGTAAAGGCCAACTACGTTAGATAATTGTGTCTAGCTTTGACTAAGTCTCGTTTAGTTTATTATAGTTTAGTTTCTTAATTCTTATTCTGAGTAGAGGCTTCTAGTGAGCAAGAGAAGGGACCGACTATTTCTTTCTCTGAGAATTCTTATTATTCTTATTTGAGTGAATAAAAGGGTATTTTAACCCTTCTCAAGTCTACGTCTTAGTTGTTCTGAAATCAGTGATAAGTCCGTGCATAGTTCACTAGATTCCTCGACGTTCATCTTAGACAAAAGGAGTTAGGGACCCTACAATACATGTACTGCTACAAGTAAAACATGATGATAAGCAAGTGCTTCATATTGGAGAATTTCATAGACTTACAATCATAGCAGCTTCTTTGTTTTATTTTAACGAATTGGAAGAATTTAGTAGGATCTGCATGTTCCCTATTTTAATATAAATAGAAGAGCTTCGAACTGAAGTTAAGAATTTTATTAAAAGTGCAGTTTAAAAACAGCCAAGACAAAAATCTAGGTCATAAAGAATTGAAGACTGAAAGCAGAAGTAGGAGAGAAACATTTACTAAAAGTCGTCAATCTACAAAATACCTAGAACTCATTAACATCTAAACCTTATTCCAGAGTTACACAGTATTCTTTGTTGTTTTGATTGTTTGTTGAGTTAGATTCGCATATGGTTCTATTCTTTGCTGGATTTTAAACCCATTTTAAATCTGGCATGAAATATTACCAACTTATAGTTTTTCTGTTTCATTCTATATACGCATAGATATTTTGATGATATAGAAATCCCTTAATTATAACTTTCTGATAATTAGCACATTCTCCGTGCATGTTCTTTAACTTAACTGGTTAGCACGTCCAGCTAATACTGCAAGATCCATTATTCAAATTCTAGCAAGAGTACAGCTAATTTTTTATGTGTATTGTCTTCTAAAATTCTGATGACCTCTGAAACTCGTGCTTAAACTAAAATGTGGTGGGCGATTATTCTTCGCCACCTGGATTCATTTGACGAGGTTACATGCCTCTCCTCGTTCGCCCTCAAATGAGAGAGAATGTAAAGGATTACAGCCTTCCCCGTATGTGCTGTCATGATGTTAGTGTTTAGAATGTCCAGCTAGCAAATTAACGATCCGTGGCTGTAATCCCAGTGAATGTACAGCTGATTTTTCACACTTTCTGCTCTGAAAACGTTAATGGCTTCTAAAACTTTGTTCAGTATTTTCTTGAACATCGATCCTTGAAACGTATTTCTAGGTACAAAGTTTTTAAATAAGATGCAAAAGTTTAAGAAAAGGTTTTGCTATGCCTGCCCAATCTGGGCTTGTTCTAGTAAATCTAATAGTAAGCAATTACAAACTGCACAGACCTGAGTTCTGAGGCAGTTCAAGAACTCACCTTGGTATAACAGAAACAATACAATTCAAGAAGATCTAAATATTTTTCATCTCAAAACGTTCTATTAAAACCCGGCAAGAAACCTTAATTTAAAATTAAGAAATGTTAATTATTCTGAACTCAGAATATATAATTATGATTTTAAAGATATTAACAACAAAAAGAGGCCTATGGATATTTTAAACGGAAGTTTTATTACTGAAATTTAATGTACTTTATTCTTTATACAGGGGTTGGACAAAAATATGGAAACACCTTTAAAAAAACACGTTTCTTTGCTTAATATGGTGTAGGAAACCCGTTGGCATCCAAAACAGCTTGCAGTCTTCTCGGAATGGATAAATACAGTTCCTGTATGTTTGCCAAGGGAATATTATACCATTCTTCCTGCAAAACGGTGGCAAGTTCAGATAACGATGTTGGCGGTGGATAACGAGAACGCACTTTCCGTTCCAATATAGATGACAAAGGTTCGATAATATTCAGGTCTGGTGACTGTGGTGGCCAGGGGAGATGGGACAACTCATCCTCTTGCTCAGAAAACCAGTCCTGGACAATGTGAGCTGTGTGAACAGGGGCTTTGTAGTCTTGGAAGACACCATCACCATCGGGGAACAAAGTTTGTACCATGGGATGAACTTGATCGGCCAAAATGTTCACATAAGTCTTGGCAGTCATCTGCCCTGACACAGTTATCATGGGGCTAGCAGAGAATCACGATATGGCTGCCCGAACCATAACAGAACCCCCGCCATGTTTCACTCTTGGCAACAAGCAGTCTGTATTATAGGCTTGAGATGGCGTTCTCCAGACGTAAACTCAGCCAGAAGTGGGAAACAATGTGAAAGAAGACTCGTCAGACCATATTACTCGCTTCCACTGCTCTATAGTCCTAGGATTATGACTTAAAACACCACCTTTTCCTGTTACGGGCATTAGCATCACTGATGAGTGGCTTCTCAATTGCAGCACGGCCAGCAATTCCCTGTTTATGAAGCTTCCCTTCTAATTGTTTTGTTACTCACAGGGTTCGGTAACACAACATTCATTTCATCAGTAACTTTGCAGCAGCTGTAGTCTTCTTATTTTTCGTCACAATTGCCCTTAATGATCGTCTGTCACGATCACTCAGGACACACTTTCGTCCGCGCTGTGATTTAGCAGATGATGTTTTTCCGCTTTTCAAATATGCGGAATAAATCTTCGATACAGTACCTCTTGAAACACTAAACACCTCGGCTACCTTGCTTACGGAAGCACCTACCATACGTGCTCCAACAATTAGCCCACGTTCAAAGTCTGTTAACTCTGACATAATGCAATGACAACCTCACATAACAGTAATCCGACAACAACTGAACTGTTTAGCACATTTACGAAGTTGTATAGGTGGCGTCAGTATATTGAAATTTAACATGCTATAGTCTTGTATGTTTCTTTATTCTTTATCTTTTGTTTGGCTTTTTCTTTATGTATTGTTCTTGTATTTTTAAGAGTTCAGTTTTCTCTCCGCTATTTTGTTTCATTTATCTTCTGTTTCTCACACTGCATTTTGCTTTTTGTAATTACTCTTTGAGAGCTAATGTTTATATAGAAATTATATGTTTTACTCTAGTTATTTTGTGCACAATTTAGAAACTTACTGTAGAAGGGTTAAGTCACCCTGATGTTATTCAAACACAGTTCCACCGATGGCAAGAGAGCGAAACCTTCATTCGCGCAGTTGAGCTATGCCGAAATGAAAGCTCCTTAAGGATCCTTCACTTTAGAAAAGCTTGTTCCCTTTCCTTAAATGTATTTATTTTAATAGCACTGCAGAGGTGTAGGAAACCTTAATGAGAAGCCAAAGTTCCAATTATAAGTTCTGCAAAGAAATCAAGCACTTCTGTGAAAGTGCAAAATGTTGTAAAGACTTTCGAGAAGTGCATAGTGACGATTGTATATTTTATTAAAGACTGTATTGAGGGGATTGCATCAAAAGGAAGGACATTATTTCCTTCAAATTTGGATATTATACGAACTTAATCCTAAAACTTTACAGACACATTGCATATGAGTGATTTTTTTCCAGTAAAAGGCAAAATTGTTTGGTGAGTATAAAAATTTGTAAAAACAATGGATTTATCACACATTTGGTCAAATTTTTATCACGTGTAGAACAGAGCATATATACACATATGTAACTTTAGGTAAAATTAAAAATCTGAGAGTAATAATTTAAAGAAATATTAGCGTTACTACCTGTTAAGCGGCAATTAAAATAGTCATATTTTTCATTTTTAACGAGAAATAACCCGTTTTATTCATGTGATAACGGAAACATATGGGAATTCCCATATGTGTCCCATATTTCATGCACAAACTTCCGATTATAAAAACTAAATTAATTAATTAGCAAACCAGACTTTAATCTAAATTCTTCTCCATTTGTAAATGATGAACGTTTTCAATTTACTAAAAAGAAAGTGTTCGTTCGCCGACATTCTTTTTTAAATAAGTCCGCAGTATGAAACTTCCGTTGTTCATAGAGGAAATTCTATACGAAGTTTGATTGAAGTCTTGCTTTTTTTCTGCCTTATAAAATCTTAGGTTATTTAAGAAAAAAATTTAGAGTAAAATTTTAAAAGTTCACAGCAAAAGAGTTTTATATTATTTATAAATAAGCTTTTCTAAGAATGGCTTTGCATAGTTCTTTGGCGAAACTAAATTTTGGCATTTTTATCTTAAACAAAAGTTGTGGTAGATGAAAAACGAAAGCAACGTTTTAATTCAACGTTGGAAAAATAATTTAAACTTACTTTTAGAAGATGGTAAAAATTCCTTTTCTTTTCTATTCCGTGTGTGACGTCTGCCATCTGGTGTCTGTTAAATGAAACAATTTCAGCTGTTTAAAACAATGTTCTTTTAACTGAGACCATAGAGAAACGGTGATATTTTTGTCCGTTATTTTATTTATAACCTAAGTTTACTAAATACTAAACTTACTAATCATGATTGGTAAGACAGATAAAAAAAAAAAACAAAAAAAACATGCTGCAGTATAATTCTTTTAACTGCCTTAATTTTGTTTTGCTGAATGACTTTTCAACATTCTCAATAAACAATTAAGTTATTACAGTAGTTGCGGCCGATTACAACCAAACAGGAAAGTGCACAACTACATGTTATAGCAGTCCCATACACAAAATTTCAACGTACTGCGGCAACTCGTTTTTGAGTAATATGAAATACATACATAGGTACGTACATCACGAAAAAGTCCCTTCTGAATCCATTTTAATTCCAGTTTTCAATCCGTTAAAATCCATTATTCTGTCCGTACGTACAGACGTCACGCAAAAACATGGTTTAAAATGGATTCAAGAGCGGTCAAAATGGATATTTTCGTTGTAATGTGATACCCGAAATCTTTCGCGATTACAACAACAACGTACAAGGAAGTAAAAAGTAAGTAATTGTTCAATGAATTTAATTTTTGTTTCCAGTTTCTAGTTCATTTCTAAGAGTTATTTCATTTATTAAAGAAATAAGATACCTCTTAGAAATGAATTAAACGCATCATACATGTTTTGCAATTTTTGCCTAATTATTTCGTTACTCAACGGAAACTAACAATATCAGATCAAAAGCATAATAACAACTAATATCAGATCAAAAGCAATTGGAAAAATATGTTTAAAGATCCTTCTTCTAAATCATTGCATGAGAATTCATGTCATTTACTTAAAATAAAATGTGCTTTTTTCTAATTTTCTGGTCTTTTAAATTTAAGTATAATCACTTTTGTGCTCTCATACTCAGGATGTTCTTCCTTAGTTTGTCAAGTTAGCTTCGTAACAACGTGCGTTAATAGTTTGATAAATTTAAACTCCCTAGCTATTTATTCTGTGAGTAAAGTAATTTTAGTTAGAATTTCTCTTTCTGCGTTCATGTGCAAGTAACGTCACGCGTCTGGTGGTGCCATCTGGTGGCCATTCTGTATGTATGAAATAAAATATTTTCTTATTATACCAAGGAAAAATGTGTCAGCTTCAGTCAGCACTAAAATGTAGTACACCCAATTAAAAAAAAAAAAAAAAAAAAAAAAAAAAATTCTAAATAATACTAATGATAATAATATTAAAAATAAAACAAAACATTTTAGATTTAGTATGTAAAGACATTATGTCTGTTATTTATCTAAAAGTGTACTTCAAAAATTTTGTTTATGCACTTCAAACTGTAAAGGGTTCCAGGAAAAAGCAACAATAATAATAATGATAAATATAATTAGAATAATTATAAATTAATTAATTTGAAATTTCAATAATTAGAAATTTCCAAAATACTATAGGTTATAGACAAAATAAGTACATACAATGGCGTTTCTCCCGATTAAGCAAAGTAATAGCAGGGACAAAATCTACGGTTAACTCAAAATCACGTAAACTACGAAAGAACAGGGAATAAACTATATTATTACAATTAATAGAAAAGTGATATTAACCCTTTGTTGCCTACAAATAATCTAGAGAAGTTAAACGAAAATGTTTGTATTTTTTCTACTTAAAATAACCTTACTAATAATAAAAAAAAAATAATTTTATGACAGCATGCATATACGTACATGCATACAAATCTCTTCCCAAAGATTTATGGTCATTGTATTTGAAATCATTTCCTGCCTTGTTTGCAGTGATCATTACCATCTTCTAAATGGTAAATCTACAACTGACGTGTACATACAGATCCTCCGAAATACCTCCATTTCGTCGATTGTGATTAAATTCATTTTCGCTACGATTTTGTAACCTATACCTATTGGATTCTAATCTCAAATGTTCTAGAAATTTCTTGCCAAATATGAACACTTCCAGTGGTGTTTTGGCCATTGATAAAGCAGTGCACGTTTGGGTTTCATTTCACTCTTTTCGGTAGATCTTTTATCTACCCACTCCACAATTTTCTCAAACTGACATTTAAAATAAAATGCCTAAAATTACTAATTATGAATAAAAAATGGCAGTATAAGAAAATGTAAGCAATATTATATAATGTTTACTATGAGAAATTGGAACTTGGAAACAGAAGTAGCAGCCATTTTCCAAATAGCAATGCTTTGCTTAGTGATGCTATACAGCCATCTATGATCGACAGTTGAAAGTTCTAATAATATAGAATGAATAAACACAGGAATGGAATCTGTTAAGGCATTTACAGAAAAATAAACAAATTTAAACTTTTGTCTACTAGAGTGGACATTATGCAACAAGGGGTAACAATCTATTTATATTTCCAACCAATGCAATCTGGAGTGTAAACTCATTTGATTTTGTAAATTAAATACATATTCAAATCAATAAAATTAGAATATATTGTAAATAATAGACTTATAAATATGATTAGAAATGAAGAAACTAAGTTACAAATGCCTTAAAGAGCAATATTTTCCAGAGAAGTTGAGTAATGTCACTGATTTCACTTTCACGTAATAACTCTAATTAGCACTTTTGTTCTTTATTCTCCAATCTTCATATGATCCGGATTACATACAATTAAAATTATACGAGGTTGCGGTTGAAAAACACTCCTAAACATAAAATAACATCTACTATCACTACTGTTATCCTAGGCAACTTTATATTTCTCTTTGTTTTTTCTTTTGTTTTTTACAGTTCTGTTTTGCGCTGATTATAAGGAATTCTAATTTTCCATAGTTCCATGGTAATTCAATTAGTCCACCTCTGGTTAATCAGGAATTGTCTGTACGATGTATGTATGCATACAACAGGTAAAACAAAGCAATACATGAATAGCTTATGAAACTATTTCATATTTTTTTTTAAATATTTCCAGAAATTCTCAACTTCTTTATGACCGCCTTATACATACTGCCTAATACAAAAAATGTTTTAAATGATTCAAATATTCTTGTATTGTTTTTTTTTTTTTTAAATTTAAATAAATCAGTTTTGTAGAATTAAGAAATCTTACTTTTTAAACGTTCATCTGGCCCTTATATTTACATTTAGGAAAATCTGCGATAGTTGCAAAAAATAAAACACAAAAACGTGTTTTATTTCCTATACACACATTTTGTTTACCCCGCAGTCTGCCAGCAATCGAGCGGTGAAAACTGCTGAACACTGGTACTTCGTCTTGGGCTCGATTCCAGGCAAACAGGCTGGATGCATAGTGATTTTCTCAGTATGTAACGTAGATACGAATCAGTTTCCCTTAAAAAGTTCTTGACAAAGGCATACTTTGCTGTAATCAAATCTCCCCCCCCCCAAAAAAAAAAATGTCTCCGGCGAAAAAAGAAAAGAAAAGGGCGACGTAGACGACTGGGAAACTCATTTTTCATCGATGAATCACAACATATTTCAAACTGTGTTTCTTAAAGCACTTCCATCTTTCATTATGCACTACCTTATACTGATACCACTTTCAGTATAAGGTCCATTGCAACATTCCACCAAGTATCAAAGAACTAATTTTGAAAGAAATGACGGTCATTTGGGAAGGCGTAAGTTACACGTACACTACCAACATAAGCAATTTTTTACAGCGTGAGCATGCTAGCAATTAATTATATAAATAAATCTGAAAATCAAATGGATAATTTGTAGCTAATGAATATAAATATGGTCTTAAGTTAGAATCAGCTGAATGAAATGGAATATTAGCTTTATGAGCGAGAACGGCATGTAGCACTAGAAGAAATTTAACTTTTTTTTAAACAGTCGGAGGGTATGAGATAACTTATTTGCGCATTAGAGAAATCAGAAACTGCAGCAGATTAGTTTGCTCCTTTTTTTTAGCATTTTTGTGACTTCATCAAGGTATATGTTGTATTTGTTCATGACATCGATTTAGTCATTTTTATCAGCTTTCAGGATAATATTTGGTTGTGGTGAATTTCGTACAAAGTCAACATTTCTGTTTAATTGAAGTCAGAACTGGACACTTGTTTTTCTATTTTTTTTTTAAATTTATTTTTTAAGTTAACATTAAGTAAATCAATTAAATGAGGAATCATTTCTTTATGTAACTAAGGTATACTGCTGAATTTAAAACTCTTTCATGCCAGCTACAGTGATCTTGGAAGCATACATTTTAAAATTTGCGAAAACTTAATACGAATATTAAATCGTTCCTTTACTTTTCACTTAACGCAGTTTCAGTTAACTCAAAATAATTGGATTAATTTATCGCGTTAAGAGAGATTTTCTTGAGAATGTTCTTAACGAAGGTATTTCATTTCGAGTACTCTCTCTGTCTTTTGCTTTTTAAGAATGAAATTGCTTACAGTGCAAAATAAGGTACTTACATACTTTACTGTCGACCAAGGCAATTAGTAAACATCCCGTCAAACCTGCGCCAGTTATTCCGGTGGAAGTGTGCAGGAGGAGATGAGTGTTTAGATAATGAGCAGATACAAGTAACGGATATAATATTTAAAAATCGTAAATAGCTATAAGGGTAAGTCCTGACTACATGTTGTTCCCTAGAATATGTCTCAAATTGTAATAATTTTTCAAAATGCAAATTCAACTAGAAACAAAAACAACTGGCTGCATGGACGGTTTTGTTATTTTCTCCATTTGTAACGTAGATACGAATTTGACAAAAACTAAATTGACTCAAAGGGTGATTAATCGGGGTTGCATTAAACTAAGACGGTTAATTTACGAGTGTATTGTAATGGCATCGCGATTATCCACCGAGTTTTTATCCCATGGGAATCAAATGGTTTTGTATTTTATTTTTTTATAACGAGTACAAAATTTTGCTATATATAAAAACAGGGATGAGAGGCACGTGTAAAATGTTAGATTTTATATTAAAAGATTTTTTTTAAATTTAAAAATATAAAAACAATA